TTATATTTCTGCAGAAAGTGAGTCACTTTTTAATACGCAGTGAAGGATGATAAATCAGCTGTGGTTTGTTCAATTCACTGGTAGAAGTAGTTCCTTGCAAATAAGCACCTGGGAAGGAAATGTGCATGCAAATGAACCTATTATGCAGTCTGTCCCACAATTCCCAGGGCTTATTACCTCTGAAATTGCTTTCTGCATAAAAGGAGTAACTGGAACTTATTGAGGCTTCTTCTTTTGTCACTGCAAGAGCCATAGAGGTGGTTGGCTATGTTGTTTCGAGTGGATAAAATAATAATCAAAAATGTCAATGCTAAATATCAGCCTTGCTTCTTTATAGATGCTGGGACTTAAAAGATATTTGCATTTTGTAGTAGAAAACAGTATGTCTATTTTCATCCTTATTTCTACTCTATTATGTCTCATATATTATGAGACTAATATAAATCTCTCATCTTTAGTAATATCAAATCATCATGGTGAACTAAATGTAACAAAATTTAGATAAAACAAGTTACAGAATTCAGAAAAAGACTGGGTTCATATAGTACTTTAGGCTATAATGTAGTTTGGTTTGGGCCTAGCTTGTGCAAATCTGGGTTATAAACTATAATCTATTCTAGAGTTGTGTGAACCCATACAATTATGGTTTATTCAATAAACATGGTTTGATAAACCATGATATCTTAAGGACTGACTTAAGGTTTATTATTCATCTATTATGATATAGATGAAACTCTCCAAGAGTTTATACCATAACAACTTTAATATACCACTGATTTTTGTTAACCAAAACTGTTATTCCTCTAGAAGTTATTCAGATATTCACCTACTGTCTCAGGCTATTATGCATTGCATACAATAACCATCTTTCATGCTTTAGGGGCTAGGATAATTAATGCGTACCAGTGAGTTTGCACCAGCAATGATTCTGCAATGGTTGTAGATGCAGAATAGCAACCACAGGCAGCACAGGCCATGGCAACTTCTGAAGAGATACAGGTTCCTTACTCATGATGAACAGGAAACATTTACAGATTATATCTATGTACATTTCTTTAGAAGTAAGAGCAAGAGTTCAAGATTTATTCTCGAACAAGTGAGCCCAAGATTACATTCCTGTTCCTTAGTTTTCAAACAAATGCTAGCCTGTAATAGCAAACAAAGTTTTGTATCTTTAAAGCTGACAAAGTAAATGTAATTTTGATTGATTTCTGGTGCATGTTATTGGAAGATCATGAATACTAGCAGGGATTTTACAGCCTTACTAGCAAAGCCCACAGAGGCATATTGATTTTCACATCTCCTGCTTGACCACTTGTAAGAGTAGTATTACATGATGGGGGAAGTATATTTAGTGGAGGAACTGAAATACATCTCTTGCTTACATATAGGTAATAGACTACAAAGTCCAGTCCAAGCGCTTATAGTTCCAACTTTTTTTTAAGTATATAAATTGTTGTCAGTGCAACAATTATGGCACTTTTAAAATTATTCCGATCCATATATGTGTTCTTCATGCAAAGCATTTTGATACCAAAACTAGATGTTTTACACTTACAGAGCTTTTACCAAATAGGGTCTCATTAATTACCAACAAATGGTGATGTCTCAGGCAGTAAAATAAAGTATTCAGTTCAAAGAATGCCTTCCATAGGAAGTTTGTGTGTGTTTGCATGTGTGCCTTAAAAGTCTTGGGACTGGGTTCACACAATTGGTCTTGCAGCTTATTTCATGCCCACCGCTCTGAAACTTTTACCAAGGTTGTCCAGGAGGTCAAAAAAGTAAAAATGGCAGCCATTTGGTTGAAGCCCCACCCCTTTTTATTTGGAATGCATATTAAAAATGGCAGGCTTTTGTGCAGTTGTAGTCACCAAATTGACTTTTTTTACCCTCCCCCTGCAGATACCCTTGACTTTTGCAAAGAGTTTTATCTACTCTATGCATCTCCCAAGAGCAATTTGTTTACTAAGATCTTTGTGCAGAGTCCTTTTAAAGAGACTTAAATATATCCTTTCCTTTTCAACAGATTACTTGCATAGGTACATCTTTAGAGCTTTGAAAAATGTATTGAACACTTTTTAAAACAGTTGTTTCTTTAAGATGTGTATCCCATTTATCCTTCCAGAAGGAAGTCCAACATGGAACCTATAATATGAAAAACAAAAATAATATCATAATACCAGTGCAAATAATGTAAAAATATATGTAGCAATTAAAATATAACAATAACCTAGCAATACTATTACAATTTAATACCTAATCATCCATTCAAATCTTTCTACAATGATTAAATAAATAGTTATGTATATATCAAAAGTATTTATATGCCATTTCTTTAAAAAAAAAAAAGAAATTCTAAAGGAGTTTATAATAGATGTAAAAACATACAGTTAAAAACATAATGAAAACGGAATGAAAACAATCCATTACAAACAAACAACTATTAGGGAGAGTCAACTTTAAGCCAACATAAAGTTAGATTTTTAAAAAGATGCCTAAATTCACCAGTCATTTATAATGTTATATAAATGGGCAGGTAGGATCTCCAAGTTGCTCTTCTTGTAACTGGAGCTGCAAAAGATAAAAAGATGGGGCTGTAGCATAAAATTTGGGTCTGTTATTCCCTTTCTCTCTGCAGCTTGTTCTAGCTTCTGTAAGAACAAAGCAGCACCTCATTTGTTAACCGTTAATTCCAATGCTTTGATCTACAAGTCCTATCAACCCTAATCAACATTATCAATTATCAAGAATATGGGGGTTATAGGCCAAACATCTAGACTTTAGATATCTGGCAAGATCTAAGTTTGGAAAGGCTGGTTAGCTAGTGGTGCTGGGGTAGAAAATCTATTCTTGCTGTATTTCAGATCACGTGTGAATAGACTTCTATGGCACCTATAAAAAAGGTGATCTTTGGTTCAACTCAACCTGATTTAATCCTGCTACTGAATTAGTAAATCATACCCATGCATTTCTTCCTTTCTAACGCCATATAAGTAACATACCAGAAAAATAGAAAAGACAATTCTATTTCCTCAGAGATATCACCAACTTAAAAATCAGTCTAAATCTTTGTTCAACTGCAAAAGGACACAAGATATGTGAAAATAAAGAACTGCTTTAATTAATCTGTCTACATATGAAATAGCATAAATATTTTGGTCAGTATTAACTGGTTCACAAGATAATACTCTGGAGAATTGACTGTAATATTCATGCCAATATTTGAGAAACATGGAGTTTTTTTGCTAATATTTCTCAAGATTCTAGGAAATCTAAAGATGATCCATGCTTCCTAGGTAATAGAAAAGAATCTCCTAAATGGCCTCATGTAACCCATCTTGAAATTAAGTAAGTGATTTCTCATTTAGAAACCAGGAAAATACCAGGTTTAAACTGAATAATATCTGGATTTCTGAGGCTAGTGAAACTGAGCAATTTCCTTCACCACGGCTTGAAGCTATTCTAATACTATTTTGAAAGTTAATTAATGTGATATCAGTAATTGGTAAGTTTTATGCCAGTTAATTAAATCTTGTCTTGGATTGAGGTTGAACCTAAATCATCTATCTGTAAAGTACATGGGAACTTTCAACAGCAGATTTTATACTGTCTTTTTTGATTTCAAGATTTATTCTAATTCACTCTCAAATGAGATTATGGGCAAAAACTCTTTCTTTATCTGACAAAAGACAATTATCTTATACAGGCCAATGCATAGTCACTAAAATTAGAATTGCCAAAATGATTTGAGCCACTGGAGGTGACCTGATTCACTTCACCAGAGATGGGCAACTTGGACCATTGCAGTCCACTGCTATGGGAGAAGGCTGAATCTTTGCCCCCAGTGCATAAATTTTATTAAATTTATTAAATTTCCAAAAGGTTAAAATACAAGATCGGGGAAAAAAAGAAAGAAAAGAAAAATCAATAAAGAAAAGGGATAGAAAAAGAAATTAGTTTCCAACTTTCCTTGGTACAGGTATAAATGTAAAATATAATCACCTCTTACTCTAGTATCTAAAAATGTACATAATAGAAAATAATTTTTAGACTAACATTCAATAAAATTCATAGAATCAATCTATTTCAACAATACCTATGATTTGTACAAGATATTTCTATAGGTGTTTCTGTCTAGTTTGTTATATGGAAGAGACTTGAGTTCTTCAGAAGAAACAAATAAGTTGAATACTGTAGGAATGGGTTATTTAAGAAGTGTTTAACATGGAAAGAGAATGTCAAGAACAAATAGGTAATGAATTAATATACAAAAGTGAGTGACTACTACTAAAGAAGTATATGGAGATATTTTGGTGATGTGGAGAGAATGACTGAGAGCCTAATAGGAAGGAAGAGTGAACAGTTGACAGGAAGAGAAAGACCGAAAAAGTCATGCTTAGATTGAATTGGTGAGATCCTCAGAGAGAGGTTAGAAGTTTGAAGAACAAAGTTAATATATGAATTGAAATATGGATGTGGGATAAGCAAAAAATAGTGCAGTATTAAGGGAACATACAAATTTTGGAAAGTTTTTCATTACATATCATGGAAATTTTTAGGTAGCAGTTTGAAAATTATAGAGTTAAAGTACATTTGGTTTGTGGTTTAGATAATATGGTAATGACTAAATGATAATCTATTTTTGCAAAGCAATTTGAATCTATCTAGTTGACACAGCAGATTGGGAAAAGTTTCCTGTGGGAGGCTAGAAGCTGTGCCCTAGTATGTTGCAGAGAGTTGTAATTAGTATCTGAATTCACCTTTCTCCTTAGCTTTGGCTAACAAACTTTCTCGATCTATTGGGGTTTTTTTTCTTTAATCAAAAGCTATTGAATACTGTTTTCATTTAAAACTGCTCTAAGCAGAGAGAAATGAAAATGATCAAATATTTGATTGCTCAAAGACATAAGAGTTTATTGTCATAAACTATGTATGATAGTGGATTAAAGTATTTTGTACGTGTATGACTTGAAATAAGTATTTAAACTTGTTTTTCCAGGATGGAGTTGAACGATCTTCTCAGATTCCTAGGTAAGGTAAGAATAAATAAAAACAAATAATATACAGTATTTATGCATTCTCTAATAGGTGTTCCAGGACTTAGAGCTTTTATTATTTTAAATCACTATTTTAATTCTGCTTTGAACATTGATGTAAACAAAACTTAAGAATGTGGAATATGTAACTGTGCTTCATATGGTTTTAGATATTTACTACTTATTGCTTTTGGCTACCACTGTTTCCTCCTGTAAAATGTTTTAAGCCAGATTCTGCAGCAGAAATCCTAGGCTTTATGTTGTTTAAAAATTTTAAACAAAATTTAAAAATTTTAAATTCCGAAAAATTTTCGGAAAGGAGGGACAGCAAGTATGAATTGCAATTTCCAGAGGAATGCATTTTATAATTAATGCAACAGCCCAAGAATAATTGCAAGTGGCAGTGTTTCCAAATGGACCCTTCTTTACATTTTAAAGAAAAGTCAGATATAATAAAGCACCCAGCCCCATAGATTAAAGCTAAAACCAGCATCTTGAACAGAGGTGAGAAAATGATTTGGAGTCTGTGTAGATCTTTTAGGAAAGAATGATTCTCATATTATGCATCAGTTAGTAAATGAGGCTATATTTTACATAAGCTAAATCTTTCAGGTGATCTTCAATTATAACCCCATGTAGAGTATATCACAATGGTTTAGACATGATGTAACCAGGATATAGATAACTGTGGCTAAGATTAGTTCAGAACAGCCAAGCTGTCCTACTATTCATACAGGTAGATCTCAATTAGTGCGGTCAATGAATCCCTCGAAATGGTCACATTATTTGAATTTGCACTACAGTATTCAAAGTGATATTTCTATGGAAAATATGATAATTGGTTCCAGCTCAACGGAAATAGGCAATGAAAAATTTTAAACATAATTTTTATATGTATATTAATGAAATATTACAATAAAGGATAAAAAGAATGTACTTATAACATAAATTTATGGTTAACAAAGTCATAGAGTAGTTTTGGGTTGCACTAAATGAGGCCTGGTATCAATTTACAATTCACACTAACTATTGTATTATTCAAACTCACATTCATTGTGACCTACTTGTACAAGTACATCCTTTACTCCTGCTACCACCTCAAAATCCAAGGACAAAGTCAGTGAGTTTTCTTAAACTATGAACTGATACTTCCAGTATAGGCTGAATCTCAATTCTTGAGCCAGGTTGTCTTTTGACCAATGTTTAATCTTATTAACTTTCATCCAGCCCATTATTCAGCCCATTGTTAAACTTTCAAGGATAACAGATGCTTCCTTGGAGTAAGTTAATAAGAAGTAATATTCCAGTATGGCAGTGAAGCATTAAGCCAATATCTGTATTCACTGGTGACTGGTGCCCATTAACAGTGGAGGAGAGGAGGCCAGGAATTAGTGTTAGATGGTTCAAAGCAGTCATCATAGGAGTGGTGGGAAAATAAGATTACCAATCTTATTTGCCCGCCAAATAAGAGAGCTGGCTGGGTTATGAAATAATCCAGGTCCTCTCTTGAGCTTACACTCATCTTCTCCACAGCCCAGAAAAACAACTTGCAAATTATGACTATTAAATAAAATGTAGGAATTGAAAGAGATAAAAACACACAAAAAATTTCTTGAGCCCTGGTATGTTTGCTGTATGGGAGCAGTCTACCGCACAAAAAGAGGGAACACTTTGTCTTTGTGTACGAAAAATAAAGTGTTTAACTATAGATTTAAATGGATGTTTAAGCTAATTATTCCACTCATTGTTGAAAACACAGTACGTAAATCTGAGGTTCTTTTCCATGTCCCTGGAAAAGATCCTTTATTTATCTACTTACATAATAACATTATGCAAATGAGGGAGAATACATGGTAATACATGAGAGATCAACAAAGAGAACAATAAGAGAAGAATTGGAGGCTGTAGTGCCAGTATACTGTATATAATTGTCGGTAATTTGTTGGATATGTATTACTTTGTGGATACCAGACAAGAACAGAAAACAAGTGGGATGGTGGCCTTTGTGCAGAACACAGCACCTCGCCTGTGACGTGATTTTGGGAATATAATTGAAAAACTTGCTTTAGTTTGCTTTCCTCATTAGTATTTTGGATAGCAGTTCTGGACTGCTGATTTATGACTGCGGACTTCAAAGCTGCATTCCTTGAAGTACCACATTGGTTTAAAAGGAAATTGGGGATCACTCTATTCAACTGGAGTAGAGCATTTTTCTTTAATCTGTGCACTATCCTAATGTGTGGACCGACCTTCAACAATGGCCAAAAGTCAACACCTTGGGAAGACCCTCAGGTTAGGAAAAGCTTGAGGTCAAAAGTTTGCCAAAACCATCTCATCATTTCTCAACCTATTATAAAAAAGTTGGAATGCAAATATAATATTTTAATATACTGAAACAAATGGGAGTGCCTAATGTTTCTTTTTCTCTCAAAGGAGAATTGAGAAAACTTTTATTCTTTGCATCTATTGCTTGGTTCACAGTGGGTAAGTTTTTATTCATTTAGAATCTCTTTGGCCTAGGAAAGCTTTAGAGTGAGATATCACTTAACTATGTTAAGTAGTAATTAAGGAACACAAGGGTTTGGAGGAAGTTGGATATTCAATAAGAGACCTTTTCTAGTGGAGCAGCTGTAAGATGTATAGCCCGAGCATCTTTCCACCTCTTTTCCCAGCAAAGTAAATCAGTGGGACTAATTATTTTGTTTTACTTATTTATACTCTGTCTTGTCTCTCCATCAGTAGGATGCACATAGCAATTACACTAATAAAAATATTAGAAAATCATGAAAGTATTAGCCACAATATGTCTTTGGGATAACTAGTTATGTGGGCCCCAAAGGGAGGCACATGGGGGTAGCAATCAAGCATGATCAAATGGCCCAAACATGGCGTATAGGATAGCTGAATGAGCCCTCGTTCTGCAGGACATAGCAGATTTGTCCTCCTGTGAATATTTCTCAACTTCATTAAGAAGCCCTAACTCCTAGTTAGCTCATGGGTCAAGTTATTGTCCATTCATCAGATCTAAGCTGTTTTAGGTGTTCCAACTGCTGCTTTTCTTTTAGTGATAGACTGACCTATACTCTCCAAAGATTAGGCATGACTGCCTTCTAGTGGCTGCTGGTTATTTCCATCTTGTTCCTTTTGATTTTATCCACAGGGTTATGTTTTAGTGAGCATAATAATTCCTCTATCCAGAGAAATACAAAGAAAAGCATTACCTCTGCCTTCCGTTGCTTCTTGTCCAATCCAGGTAAATGCCAGACCCACCGAAAGGGTCTCCTTTTCTTCTCCTGGGGATGTCTCTCCCACTGCTCACCTAGCATTGGAGCTGAGGCTGCTATGTATGTCAGCCCTTGTCCCAACATAAAAGATTTGTGCAAGAAAGAAGGATACTTTTCCTCTGTCTGCATTTTAATTTGAACTGAACTAAGTCACACTTCCCAAATTAATTAAGAAATGAAAAGGCAAACCTTGCATTTATCTAAACATAGGAGTGTGCTCCTTGACTCAAACATTGTGTAAAAAATTGTAGATTAAGCAAAATGGTGTATACATTCAAGAAAATAATATACATAAATGTTTTTATTTGGGGAAATTTCTCATCAGTTGTGTATATTAGGACAAATGAGAACAAAATGCATAAGAATTATTAAGCACACAGAAGTGTGTGTGTGTGTGTATACGCACATTAAGGAAACAGCAGCAAACTAATGTTGAAATTGCATCCCAGAACTTTTCATTGTCCTCATGCAAAACCTATACACACACACACACACACACACATATACATACACATACATACATACACATACACACACACACATACATACACATACATACATACACAGACACACACACATACATATATACATACACACACAGGTCAGGAAGCCACACTACAGACAGAAATGGAGAAACAATTGCTCCAGATTGGCAAAGAAGTGAGACACAGCTATATGCTCTCTCCTTATTTATTCAACTATATGCTGAATCTATCTATCTATCTATCTATCTATCTATCTATCTATCTATCTATCTATCTATCAAGGGAAGCTGGACTACAAGGTTAGTGTGGTTTTAAAATTGGAGGAAGAAACACTAATAACCTGTGCTATGCTGATGATATTATCCAATAGCCAAAAATCTGCAAACTGTACTAATAAAAGTCAAGGAGCACAATGAACAAATGGGTCTTTTTTAAATATAAAGAAGACCAGACTAATGACAACAGGTACGACAACCAGCCGTAGAATTGACAATGAAAATATTGGAGTGATAAATAGCTTCAGCCTTTAGGATCAAACAGTAAAGGAACAAGCAGTGAAGAAAGGCACCGCAGACTAGCGCTTGGTAAAGTAGCAATGAAGCCCTTGGAAAAGATGTTCAGATGCTGTGACTTGTCTATATCTACAAAGATCAGAATTATGCAAGCAATACAGGTAGTCCCCAGGTTAAGAACGCCCAGGTTACAGATGAACCATAGTTAAGAACAGAGCCTATTGTAGCAAAATTCGAGTTAGATACACAATGATTCCATTTAAATACACAATGGTTTGAGTTCATCACACAATACTACTTATACAGTATTATACAGTAATACTGTTCCAGTATTCCTTAAGGACAGACCTTGGGAATGGAATCCCAGACCTTAAACTGGGGACTACCTGTAATATTCCCTGTGAAGAAGTAGGATAGAAGGAACTGATGCTTTTGAAATTTGCTGTTGGAGAAGGCTCCTGGCAATACAGAGGACAGACAAGAAAATAAGCAAATGTATCATTCAGCAAATCAACCCAGAGTTCTCATTCAAGGCACAAACAACCAGGCTCAAATTATCATACTTCAGACACATTATACAAAGACCCAGCTCTTTGGAGAAGGCTGTCATGCTGGGAAAGGTGGAAGGAAAGAGAAGAGGATGAATGCACTTAGTTACAGTGGTGACCGGTGTACTGTTGGAAGACCTGAAAGACCAGGTCAGGACAGATTGTCATGGAGTAGATCTGTCCACATGGTTGCTAAGAGTCAACACTGACTTGATGGCACATAATTAATCAAGGAACTCTCAAATTAGCAGAGAGCTGCAAATTTGGTTAGCTTTTGTGAGCATAATTTAAAAGGTTAGAAAAATGTCATGTTTATCCTTTTTTCATATCCATAATTTTTACTTTTTTTTCCTGTTCTCTCATAGATTTTTCCAGTTGTGACTATTCGTTGTGCAAATTACACCCAGGTGAATATCTCTGCTTATCAGTTACCTTACGCCCCAATCCCATGAACCAGTATCAGCATACGCTTCCCATTTTCTCCTTAATTACAGTTCAAGATGCTGGTTGCCACCTATAAAGCTCTTGAAGCTTCTCTCCAATTGTCTCTATCCACACCTATTAGAGCTGACCCAGGATGAGGGGCAGGGAATTGATTAAAGGAAGCCACCTTGCAGGATTCAGGAAGCATGGCTTTTCTTTCATGGCACCTGCCTTCTGGAACACCTTTCCACCCAAGATCAGAATGGCCCTGATCTTGGTGGCCTTTCAGAAAGTCTTTAAGATCTGGCTGTTTGCCGATGCACGGGGGTCAGGAAGTAAAGGAAGTCCATGAGGTTTGTTGTGGCATTGAGGTTTTTACTCTTGACTGCCTTTTTTGATTTGCTTGTTTTGGTTATGTGCTGTGTGTTTTCTGCCGTTATTTATATTGTTGCTTTTAAACCTCGAAATTTTGTTCACTGCCCAGAGTTGCTTTGGCGAGATAAGCAGCTATAAAAATTGAATAAAATAAATAAATAAGTAAAAGCCATTGGATAACAGACACTACTAAATTCCACACAATAATCCAGTGTGGAGGCTACTTCAGGGCATTATGGGAACTCAACAGGGCAGTTCCCTGACTCCCATCAGATGAATACAGATGCTGCTGGGTAAAAAAATTGGGAGAAACACACTAATATTGAACAGAAGGGATGGGTCAAACGTTCTCACCCTGTAAGTGAGGATCGGTGAGCTGGTTGTTTCCTCTGCCAGCCATAAAAGAAGTATTTGGTCTCTCTATTTTGCAATACTCCCTTTCTATTCCCAAAATAGAAGAAGATCAGCAGCTACTTGCAGATCATTTTGGAACACATTGGGTTAATAGGCAATTAATTTGCAGGAAGTACAAACTTGAGTCTTGTGGTTTTGTAGTAGAATGTAACAAAGATTAAAATCTTTGATTCTTTCACGCTGTCTGCATGCACTATATCTTTTAATAAACAAATGTGAAGCAGTTCTGAGAAGTCGTCCTCTGCTTCTATTTTAAAAATTCTATGAAGCGATGGCTGATACTGCAATACTAAACTCTGCAGTTTTAGATGGAAATAAAAACCCACTAAGCTAAATTATAATCTTGAGCATCAACAAGGTAAAAGTTCCAAATGCACAAGACCATCTGTACTTTACTTACACAATCACAAAGATAGGATACTTCCATAGCAATAACTTTTCCACTTCCCAAACCTTTATAAAGCTGTGTGAAGTATTTTCATTTCCGCCAGCCTTGAAACACAGAAAACATATAAAGAATACCCTGAATCTGACTAATTGGAGAATCCCCCCCAAAATCATCTAAATACTGTCCCACCCCCTAAAGTATGCCTGATCCCAGAATAGGTTGCAAAATATATATGATGGTCTAAACTTTCCCAGTACCCCTTACCTTCTTTGCATGTTGCGTGGTAGCTGGAGTTGGAGAGAGGGGAAGAGTCATTCTAATCAGCCTATACAGTCTCAAGAAACAAGACATCGGAAGCCACTGTTGGAGGGTGGGAACAGGGAGGTAGGGTGAGATAGAAGTGCCACCAGTGGGAAAACGGATTGCCCTGAAGCATTATGGAGCTGAAGAAATTCAAAAGGAAAGATTTTGCTCAGCTTCATCTGATATACCAGTTGCACCCTTTCCTAGATCAGGGTTACTCATGCTCTGGTCACCTCATGGCTTGACTATGCATCACGATCTACATGGGGCTGCCCTTGAAGACCGCCCGGATGCTTCAGCTGGTTCAGAATGCAGCGGGGCAGTCAGTGATGGGCATACCTTGGTACGCCCATGTAATACTTCTGATTTGCAAGCTGCACTGGTTGGCTTCGTTACTTGAGGGACCACCTGTCTCCCATAGTATCTGCCTCGCTGGTTCAATCTGGCAGGGTTGGTGTGCTCCAGGTTCCATCAATTAAACAGGGCCATCTTCAGGATCCTGGAAGGGCACTTTCTCTGTTGCAACACCTGCCCTCTGGAATGAGGTTCCCCCCCAAATTCGAACAGCTCCCTCCCTACTGGTATTTCAAAGGGCCCTTTGGAGAGGACAACTGACCCCTCTTTTCTCCTTTCTGTTCCCCTCTGGGCTTGTTTTCTTTGCCATTGTTGTTCTTTTGTCTTGTGCTGTTTTTGTGGGTTTTTTGTATTGTTCTTTGTTTTTAAATGCTTTTAACAACTGTAAACTTCTCAGAGTCACTGGGAGTCAGGTGGCATATGAATTTCATAAATTATTATTGTTATTAGTTTTAGTGTGGTTTCAAATGCTACATTCATATATAAATCCACTCATATCTCAAAAACATTTGATACTATCAGATTTAGATGGACATCTGGGGGGGCAAGTGACAAAATGTGTCCCAACATTGTGGTGTAAATTCTACCCCTTACGTACTTACACATAATGTCATGATGCAAGGATGGAAGGATGGAGCTGGCATGGTCATTTCACAATGGACATTTTGTCATTTTGGTTTCATTTGGCTATGGGTCTGGAGTTGATCCTGCTTTGTGGCAAAGTCCTTGTGTAGAGGTACTCATAATCAGAAGCTAATGCAAACTGGTAATACTATGTAAGTAAAATAGGGGGAAATTGGGGAAGTGATTCCCCCAAAATTAAAATCCCATATCTGTTATGAAAGGGTAAAAATAAAGTGCCATATTTTATGGAGTATCTGTTGTGGACAACTGAGAATAATTTTCTTCTCAAACTATTATTAGAGGGAAAGATATTAGTTTAGTCTGGTTTATGCTAAACAGACATAAATAATCATTTATTATAAAGGAAAACCAGAAGTCCTGGAATGGCTCTAATAAAGTTTGTGATCTCTGCTTTCTTTCTTTGTTTCTTTCACAGGTTGGCAGGATGATCTGAACTACTACTATGATTTAAAGAATGGCCTCCACCTTTCTTGGTCACCGCTTTCTCACACATCTGATTCACTTGTATATACTGTATTTTTAAAATGGTAAGATGGTCAGAAACTGGGAAAGAATTTAGAAAATCATCTGCTTTCTCAAACATGAGGCATCCCAGTCATTTTCAAAGCAGTTACAGCTTCAGAAGAGGGAGGTTGTTTAGGACAGAAGCCAAGAAGGAAAGTTTTAAGTCCCCTATTTTGCTACAATCCTGATAAGTAACAGACTCTAGGTAATGGAATTTGAAGCCATGAATTTAAAAAATGTTTTGCATTTAAAAAGGTGACCCCCAGCATTATAGGTGCAAAGTTACTTTTAAAATAATATGTAATTATCATATATAGCCCTTACTCCATAAAAGGCATATACAATGTACTGGATTAGTTTCTGTTGTGAAGCAATGGCTACTTCTAGTTTATTGAACAAAATACAGCTTTAGAGGTAAGCCAGGATAAAACTGTTTGCTAGACTCAGTGGTGTAGTCACTTAGGCCATACTGAAAAACATATTGCAATAGCAAACAATGTTGTTGGAATTCATACATACTATAATGCAATGTCAAAAAATGTAGAAGTACTACTGCTTTGGTGTACCCCATATCTTTATCTGAGTTGAACTCTTATCTCTTTTTCATCCTATTTATTACGAACTTTAGATTGTACTTCTGTTCATGTAGTTTATGGGAGAGATAAGGTAGTGCTGGGCTATGCTGCTCAAAAAATTGAGTGTGAGCATTTTATTTTTTGTGTCGTTTCTTCTCCCAATCTGCTATTAGATATGGGAGGCAAAAAAAGGGAGCAAGATTTGGCTAAAATTGAGGGACAGTACAAGAGGACTTGTGGATTTCTAATTTGAGCACTGATGTATCCTGACTCAGAGTGTGACCTCATAAAAGCTAATTCCTGTTTAGAAAGTATGAGCAGGATTCTGAACAATGCACGAGTTATAGACCTGACAAAGAAAAGTCACATCCTATAATGGTATGTGGGAATGACTTTGGGAGACTGGAGGAAGAGCCACAGCCTGCATAACCATCATGCAAAAGGTATCTCAGCCCCCAGAAGCAGAGGGGGCATGGGAAGCGTTTCAGAAGGGACCCTCCCTAGTTTTCCAAGGAGTAAAAGGAAAGGAGGGGAGGGGAGGAATACTTGAAAGATTCTGTTAATGTAACCTGACAGTAAAAATAGAGCTAGCATTCGTTGTTCTGCTTCTTGTCTGGACTACCTTGAAGGACTGACATATCCCCAAATGTATAAAACCTATCTGAGTTAATTCATATAAATGTTCAATAGGCCAGGATTGGAAGTCACTCACCTAAAATAGCATTGACAGTTCTGAATATGGGGGGGGGGGGGGGGGGGGGGGGGGGGG